GACGCTTCCGCGGCACTCTTGCTGCGGGTGTGTTTCTTCCCTCGTCCCTCCGCGTCGGTGGAGTAGAAGCTGGTGACTCCTCTGCGTCGGTGTCGACCTCGTTATCCCGCACATACTTCCCGGGATGGTCGACGGACAATGGCGGAAAACGAGCGAGCTCCGCCGCGGTCAAACAATTTCTCTGCCGATAGAAATTGATCAAGAAAGGAGAGAGGTGATTGAGAGTTCCCCCCTTCTCCTCAAATGCATGCTGTCGCATCACTCTGTGCAGGATGCTCGCCCAGTGAATTGGAGCTCCCTCGATGATGAGCTCCACAAAAGAAACCTGCCACAAGGTGATGTAGCAGGCGCGGTGTGGCTGCAGCAATTGTAGCAGCGCCGCCGCTAAAGTTCGGCGGTAGCGATCTTTGTAGTCGCGGATCTTGTACCCATTCTTGGTAGACCTCTCCCGCTTGAACAATTCCACAAATTGCGCCTCGTCTTGCTTCGACACCTTGACGCTCTCACTATCAAAGAGAAGGTGCCCTTCGATGCCGGCACACCTCCCCAATGCATGCGCCCAATCTTGGACGATCCACCGATCGACATGCGGACGCAATCCGCGCAAAGGTGGTCGCTGTGGCTCTAGCCACTCTCGCACCATGTCCACACAAATGTAATTCCATCCCCACAGCAAGAAATTGAGCTTTCTTGCAATCAGCCGTTCCTTGTAGGCACGCAACCCGTTCTGTGGAAGCCGGAGCGGCAGCATCCGCAATCGGTTCAGCTTCGACATTGCGTTCTTGAAATTAGCTTGCTCGCTAATTTTCTCTCTGCTCCGCTCGAGCTCCTTGCTCCCTTTGCAAACTCTAATCTCACTCAATTCCAAATCGCGCGCACTCAATTCTCTCTCAATCAACAAGTAATCTTCCGCGCGGCGATGTTTGGAATGTCTAGCAGCTAGCAGGTGGACGCGCGTAGCTCGCACTAGAAAATGAAATCGCGAATTCAAGAATGGGGCGCCCTCTGTCTCCCGGTCGAAGGTCATGGTCGGCTCTTAGTCGTGAGGGTCGAATCACTTGATGGCCGCGCCGGCTCTACGCTAAAACGGTCTCCGCTCTCACGCGCGGCTTCACGCTCCACCGACGTCAATTTAACTCACACGCTCGAATTGGCAAATTTGAACTCCGCGAGCGTACTACGCCGCGGACATGGGTGCGCAGCGCCGAAGGCGGATTTCTCGCCTTGCGCGCTACACTCGTTCGTACCGCTCCTCGGCCAATCCCCCTCCTGTCGAAGGTGATCGTCCGCGCATCGGACAAAAGTTGAACTCCCTTCGGCGTAGGCGGAATCCCCGGAATACACTACACTCCGCGGAACCTGTGCTTTGCCTCCTGCCCGACGGACTGCCGCGCACTAACTCCCTACCCTGCCAGTTTTCCGCTCGACTGCGCAGTCCCAAACGCTGCAACGCCGCGGACACCTCCGCCTCGAGGGTGGACATTGTATCCCGCGCCTTCGACAGAAAAGAGTCTAACTTCTTCGCCACCTTCCGCCGACTCCTACTGTCATTTGACAACAACCCGGCTGCACGAAGCTCCAACTCACGCAGTGTGAGTTTCTCCTGCGCCGCTACTTCCCAGTGGGCATAGCCCTTGAGACAGTGGGCGACACGCCTCGCCATCTCCTCCTTCGTGCGATCTGCCTCTCGCCTGCGATCATCTTCAATTACTACCAACTGCGATTCGGCCTCCGCACGCTGCGCTCTCAATTCCCCGCACTCCGACTGTAGCTTGCGGATTAAATCCTCATCCGCCTGTCGTGCGAGCTGACATTCCGCCAACAACCGCGTCTGTCGCACGAGCTCCTCTGACAGAATCTGATTCTGAGTTTTCTCAGAAATCAATTCCTCCGTTGTCTTCACCACATCCTTGGTGAGCTCGTCCAGTCTCGCCTTCTTCAATGTGTCGTAGTGGGTGTGCGTCTTCCGCACGAGATTATACTGTCCCCACAAACACCGCTCCTCGGCCAATCCTCCTCCGCCTTGCGATTGTCCGCGCATCGGACAAAAGTTAAACTCCCACCTGTGCGCAGGTGGAATCCCCGGCGGAATCTCCGCCGGCGCGGAACTTCACCCGCCTGTGCGTAGGCGCTCGCCTGCGCGTAGGCGAATTCCGTCCGCGCTGCTGCGCTGGCGCGGAAGGCGTTGACCGCGGTCAAAAGGCTCCGTCCAACCTGTCCATTTCTTGCCTCTCCGTCGGCGCTCTCGCCGCCGCAACTCCGTTCGACCGAAGGCGCATCCATCCGTTCCGTCCGTACAGTCCGTACGGTCCATACGGATTTTACTACTCCGGCGGCTCCTCGCCCGTCCGCGCTGTTGCGCTGGCGCGGAAGGCACCGTACAATTTCTACCCCCGAAGGCGCATTTCTAGGGCCGAAGGCGGATTTTCCGCCGACGCCGAAGCGCCTGTGCGTAGGCGAACTTCGCTCGTCCGCCTGTGCAGAGATTTCCTCGCCTACGCGTAGGCGACATTCGCGGCGGACATCGCGCCTACGTCAAACCCTATTTCGCTTACGCGTAGGCGAACTGCCTTCGTCCGCGCATAGGACAAAACTTCCCTCGCCTGCTCGTAGGCGGAAAACTGAGTATCTTGCGACCTTCATAACTCCCGGAGTCCTCATCCGTTTGTGGCGTTCTTGGGCTCGTCAGAATCAGCGCATCAAGCTCTTTCCAACAAGACCCTAACCAAGTCGAGGCGTTCGGGAATTGACCAAATTCTGAAGGATTCCTCTAGCGCTGAAGGCGGATTTTGCGCCTTGCGCCGAAGGGGTCATACCTTCAGAGCCCGCAGGGAGGGTGGTGTCCGTCCCTGACGTTGCACCCTACTCCTAGATTCTACGAGTTCCCTCGAGAATCTCTGCAATCTTCCGAATTCACTCTGTTTTGATGCACCGAAGGCTATTTACACTGCTGCCGCGGTACAGTTTTCCAAAAATGTTTTAATTTTCTCAAAAATACCAAAAGTGGGGTACCATTGTAGGCGCTCGCCTACGCGTAGGCGAATTCCGTCCGCGCACCGGACGTTCGTCCGCGCAGGTCCCTCGCCGTAGGCGCAGCGCTGAAGGCGGCTGTGCCGAAGGGCGTTGACCGCGGTCAACGGACTCCGTCCAGTCTGTCCATTTCTCTTGCCTCTCCGTCAGCGCTCTTGTCCCAGTAATCCCGACCGGCCGAAGACGCACTCGTCCGTACAGTCCGTACGGTATGTACGGATTTACTACTCCGTCGGGTCCTCGCCCGTCCGTGATGTGCTGGCGCCGAAGGCGCCGTACAGTTTCCAACCCCGAAGGCGGACTTCCCGCCGACGCCGAAGCGCCTATGCGTAGGCGACATTCGCGTCCGCCTGTGCATAGGTGCAAGTCCTCCCCGCTTACGCGTAGGCGACATTCGCGGCGGATATATCGCCGACATCAAACTCTATTTCGCCTATGCGTAGGCAAACTTTCCTCGTCCGCACATAAGACAAACTTTCCTCGCCTACGCGTAGGCGAAGATCTTCGTATCTTTCGACCTTCACAACTCCTGGAGTCCTCATCCGTTCCAGGCGTTCTTGAGCTTGTTAGAATCAACGCGTCAAGCTTTTTTCAACAAAACCCTAACCAAGTGAAGGCGTTTGGGAATTGATCAGATTCTGAAGGATTTCTCTAGCGCCAAAGGCGCAGCGCCAAAGGTGGATTACGCGCCTTGCGCCGAAGGGGTACTCCTTCAGAGCCCGTCGTTTAAGGCGGCGCCTGTCCCAGACGTTGCGCCCAACTCCTGGATTCTACGAGATCTTTCGAGATTCTCCGAGATCATCCAGTTCCACTCTATTTTGATGCACCGATGGCTATTTACACTACTACCGCGGTATAGTTTTCCAAAAATGTTTTAAATTCCTCAAAAATACCAGAAGTGGGGTACCACAACCACGCAAGAGGAGCTACAACTTGGCGTTCCGCATTTTGTAGCTGAAGGCATTCGGCCGAATGTTCAGAGCTAGTACATTGGTTAGAGACTTGAGTAGTTCAGATCTACACCTGCGGGTGATTGCCGATGCTCAGAGCCTGTGACGAGTTAGATACTTGAACAGTTTCCCCCTTACACCTTTGAGTGGTTGTTTCTAATTGTACTCCTTCGGGATTTTTCCCCTAAATGCCAAAGTGAAGTTTTGTTACTTCGTGTAAGCCTTGGTTGTAAATTCAGGTTACGCTGCAGCAAGTGCCTTTGGGGGTAACCCTGTAGTATTTCTGGGAATGACAAGTGCCTAAGAATTCAAACTCTTCAATAGACTGTTATGGTGTGTTACTCGAATGTTTCTCAATGAGTCCTTCCGTGCGGACCTGTGCTCTTTGCGCGTTTTGTGAGTTGAGAGTGTTGTTCACAGCGTATGAGTGACTTCGATCCGAAGTAGGAAGTCCAATCCGGGTTTCCCACACTAGCAGAGAGCTAGTGGAAGGGTTGTAAAAGCCGGAGTTGGGAGTCACTACCCGCAGCTTCGCTGAGTACTCGCGAGAGACTTCCCCCCTGAAATCTTGAGTAGAGGTCCTCACGGATCTCTGGGTTGTGTTTCTGTAATTTCAGGTGTGTGTGCGTGTGTGTGTGTTACGCTGCACTGTGCAACCTCTGAGTGAGCTCCGAGTGGACACTTGCTGTATTTCTGGGAGTGACAGTCGCCTGAGAATTCAAACTCCTCAATAGTCTGTTAAACGTGACACTTTGTACCCTGTGCGTTACTCTGTCCCTGTGGGTTCGACCTTTCCTACCACTATATTGCAGTTTAGCCTTTAGTGGGTTATTACAAGATTTTATTGTGTCTAAATAGAAAAAATGAGATCTTGTAACATTGCTCATGTTTTCAAACAAAAAATCTGGATAGACAACTTTTGAGTACCGATACACGAGATAGTAAGATAGTATTATTGGAGACTACATACAATTTTATTGCCATCCCAGAGTGGAGTCTTTGCATGGTCAAGAATGACTACAATGATGACTTAGATGCATTCATATTTGAAGACCTTGTAAAAGCTAATCAATTCACATTAAGATTTTTTAACTATCATCTTAAGAATTATGTTTTTTTCTCATACATGATTCTATTTCTATATGAGTCAATATTCAACCCAGAATCTATATTGACAAGTAGTAGCTAGCTAGCAACTAACTAACTAATCTACCTAGCAAGCTTAACGAATTAGTGCAGATGCTTGATAATACATAGAGTACTAGATTTAGTATGTGATCCTTATATAACTCACGAGCGGAATGCAGTTGCTTGAAATTAGACGGAGCATAAAGTAATTGGACTCTTGTTCAAGGTTATCACTGATCTCCCTACGTCAGTGGCTCAAGGGCACATGCAAAGGTAATGTCAACTGAGATATCTGGGAGAGAACATTGGGTAGAGACGACCTAATCTAGGAACTTGGGATACTGCATGAGCGCATACTCATGTACGCACTATCGAGGCACCCTAAGCGATTGTTGTGAATCGGTGGCAAATGATGACATGAAAGAAAGTTCGTCTGATTCTCCTTGAACGCCTTGGTTACCAGCATGTTCGTACTCTGGTATGCTCAACAAGTTTGGTGTCTGGATTTTTAGCTCGTTGACGATGTCCACAGCTACACTTGCATTTGAGTTCTTCATGAGGACGTTCACCAGTTGAGACATCGTTGCGCGTTTCTTGGGATCTGTTTGCAGACAAGACAGAGCCATGTCCACCACGAGCAGGACTTCTTCTTCGTCATAATCGCCCTCCAATCTTTTATCGACCAAGTTCAAAACCTTGCCTTCCGTGTACAGAGTTATAGCCTGCACATGTCATGAGGGTGTGAGAGCCGAAGAGGAAAATAGCTCAATCAAATTCGCAACTGTATTCTGATGAGTGAAATTGGCAGAAGTAGCAGAGAAAGGAGGCAGATAAGTATCTCCTAAAAGCCTGAAGCTCTATGAGCTGGATTTGTGATGTTCGTGCTATAATGATGCAGTGTAATTTAAGAATCACCCACCCACGAGCGTAGAATACTTTGTTCCTGTGGCAACTTCAGATCGATGCACGGTCTTCCAGCAACGATTATCAGCAAGACAACACCAAAGCTATACACATCCAGTTTCTCGGATACTACGCCTTCTAGTGCATACTCTGGTGAAAAGTAGCCCCTGTAGTTGCATGGAAAGGAATCCAAATTATTAGTGCCTTGCTCTAAGGGCATACCACATTCAATTCTCAACTGGGAGTCTCACCAATTGCGTGCAACTGTCGTACATTTGATACACATGAATCAATTCGGCCTGTAGAAGTACCTCGTTCCTGGAATGTTAATGGTGACTAGAGTGTCATTTGAATCATTAGCTGGCCGGACGAGTCCAAAGTCGGCAATCTTTGCGTTGTAATTCTCGTCCAGAAGAATATTTTCCGGCTTTATGTCTCTGAGAGTTCAGAGGCAGGTGACAGTGTATAAAGCGGAGAAATCACACACCTCAAAATAAGCCCTAAACGAAGCACAAGCATGCAGAAAACTCCATGATATGTGCCTTCGCATGTTGACACGGTGTAATGCATAAGTACAAGATGCATGAGATATCGTACATCATTGGCTTTCGGTGTTAAAGCACGTGCCCTCGCATCTCTATAGATTTGTCTTAGACAGAACAGAATCAAAACGTGGAAGATTTGCAGTTGAGGTTGGAGTCTAAGCATTCTCACCTGTGAATCATACCCGGCTGCAATTCTTCATGTAAGTACGCAAGTCCACGGGCTATTCCCAAGCATATGTTGTAACGTTGTTTCCAGTTCAAGACGGTCGCACATTGAGGACCTGAACCTGTTGGTCAGCGGCATACATAAAACTCTGAGATACTCAGCAAATTATTCGTAGTGTTTAGCCACATGCTCTGTATTTTATTATATAAGTGAGTCCGAAAACAAAAACTCTCCCCTTCTTAGTCCCACATACGCGTAGGTTACTTAATATCCGATACATCAACATGAACCCTTCGCAATAAAAATACAGAATCCTTCCAAACAAACAATCGAGCCCATTATTCTTCCTCGTTAGCTTAATATACATAAAAAAAAACTTCTATCTATTGTGATCCTAGTAGATGGATTATAATCAAAGAACTCATTATTTTATCACCAAGCAGTGCTTCTGACTCACCAAACAGTGCTTCTGCGAGGCTCTTGTTCTCCGCGTATTCGTAAATCAGCATTCGTTGCCGATTCTCCCATACACAACATCCCTTGAGTTGAATCAGATGTCTATGTTTGATACCCGAGATGTTTACCATTTCTTTCAAGAAGTCCGACGTACTCTGCTTTGTTGGAGTGAGTCTCTTCACAGCAACAACCCTTCCATCTGCTAGTTCAGCCTGTCAAAGGCAGTTACTTGTTACACTTCGATGGGGTTCCTCCACTTTCTAAACTTTCTTAGTGTAACAGATGATTGTAAATCCAGGATACTAGACTTACTCTGACAGAAAAAATGAATGAAATCTCATTCTCATTGCTTATAGAGGCTTTAGAGATATGCATATGAAAGTGTCACGAGTATTACCTTGAAAACAGTGCCAAATCCACCTCTTCCTAACTCGTTGGAACTAGAGAAACTGTGTGTAGCCGTTTTGAGTTCTTCGTAGCTGAAAAACGGTGGCTTCACGTCACGTCGTGCTAAATCTGAGAAAAGTCAAGGTTACCAGCGTTAATACGAATACTAAGGAGCAGCTTTTCCACTCACAAAGTTGAAACCAAGAGATCATTCTCAAGACGATAACCCAAGTGACTCCTGAAAATCGTGTGCTGACAACAGACCTTCCTGTATCTGTTGAAGTTCACGATTGCGTCTTCTCATTTTCCACATGAAGAACATGACTAAACAGCTCATAAGTAAGACGAATATTCCAGATACCACGCCCACGGCAATCAGTACTCCTGTTTGGACACCATCGTTGGCTGCTTACGCTCACATACAACATCAGATTTATGATGAGAGTTGATATTTGTGAAGCTAGACTGTCGAGTAACCAGATGATTTCAGCCGGCATTGCTGCATGACACAAGACTTTGAAAATGTGCCTATTCAATATCTGAAGATAGTTCGTAAGATTTTCCAACGAATTTTGATCTTGGTTACAGTAACGAAATAGTGTTCAAGCTCGGAACTCACATGGGGACGGCCAGAAGTTCTCATGCTCGTCAGATCGGCACATGTATTTTTTGATGAACACTAAATTCTCTCCCTCATTATCATTGCGGCACCACGGATTATCTCCAAGCCTTTGAAATTACAACGAGTGCGTTTTAGAGCAGTTTTTGTAAACAGAAATCCATCTAAGCAGCAATGTAATAATCCTTAACCTTTCAGACTTTGACATGCGGGTACATAAATCATTTGGAAAAGGAACAAATTTAGAATCAGTCCAAAATATTTGCGTTTTGGGTAGACAAGATCTGGACATCTGAACCAGGTCAGAAAGTAAGAGGGCTTATTACTTACAAGATGAAAGTTTGTGGAGACTGTATCGAGAGCAGCTGCTCAGATAGTGAAGATGGCGCTACTATTATAGTCTCTAAAGATTGAAGGCTCGGTGAGAGAATTCTATGTATTTGATTCCCAGCCAAACGCAGCTGAATTCGAGGAGCATCGAGACTCGTGCCTTCGGCAACTTTCTTATACCATGTTGTAAGATTCAATTCCACAAAGCTGTTGTTTATCAAATTCCTGAGTGAAGAAATTAGATATACTTTAATAAAGTCTCGAGGAACTACACTTATGTACAGAAGTTGGATTAAAAGATTTTATGTTCGATGTAGAATTCATCAACATTAAAAGGTTTTAATGTTGATGAATTCTATGTCGAACATAAAATTCTGAAGTCAATTTAGTACTCATAATCAGCATCCCGTTCTCAGTTATAAGAAAGGACTATAATATCAAATATTGTCTCTACAAATATAAAAATCATCCAGCCAAATGCATCGTCGCTGTCCATAGAACGAAAGCAGTAATACAGTTCAAATTATACAGAACTGACCACTTCTCTTGCTTGTTCCAACAAACTTTAGCAATTTTCTCTTGGTATTACTGAATCGACATCTAGTGACTTCGCTACAATAACTACTGATATGATACGAGGACTGAGAACTGCGTACTCACACAAATTGAAGATTGCGACTGTTCCAGATGCTGTCAGGCACTGTACCGTTCAGATTATTAAGGCTCAAGTTCCTGAAATCACGATTCTTTTCCTCAGTCTCATTTAGAATCGAGATACTTATAACAAATAAAAAGAAAAAAATTTCTCGTCTGCAAGGGATCATCACGTCAAATTTTACTTTGTTCAATCAGAAGCTCCAAGTCTAATTTAACTCTGATTGAAACGTGTACTTACAGATTTATCAAATTACTGAGTTTAGTGAAGTTGACTGCTAACTCGCTCGACAATTGGTTGTTGGACATATCCAAATTCTCCAAGTTTTCTAGCACTTCTAAATTCCCAGGTACGGGTCCGACAAATTTGTTATTGCTGAGGTCTCTGCAGGCAACACAAGTTGTATAATTGTCTTCTATATTCGATCAAAAATCTTTGGAAAAATGCTCTTGGAGATGTTTTAATACAAAATCTTCGAACAGTACAGGATGAATAATCCTGATTGAGTCACAATTCTGACGGAATGTCAATGAATATGGGACGAACAATAATAAGAAGCACTTCTACAAACAGTATAAAACTCGAAACAGAAATTGATCGTTGAACTCACAAGTTTTTAATCGATTCGTCCAATGCTCCCATTAATGAAATCAATGTTCCATTGAACATATTGCTCGACAGTGATCTGGGGTAGTATGAATGGGAAGATCGTTAGAATGAACAAAATCATCTTCCCTATGTGAAGACTAACTACTTCAACAGTTTATGTCATTCCAAGTTGTCTTCCAACTTTAGCTAGCTACTCCATCAAACTGAATAACAACGTATGACTTTAAGTTGACAAAACTGACGCCAACGATGCTGACGAATCAATTAGTTTCGTAATTTGAATTCACCTAGAAAATATGTATAAGTCAAACGATTTCAACCGATAGTTATCTACGAACTTTTTCAATATTTCTGAAGTTACAAAAGATCTTACTTGCGTTGTGAGATGTTGAATAACTTACAGCATTTCCAGATTGTAAAGTGCTTTTGGACTGAATAATGGTAGTTCTCCAGACAGCTTGTTGTGTCCCAATTTACTAAAGTTGGCAAATTGCAAAGTTTAGATCCATGCAAATGATGATCGACGTTGTCCTCAAACTAAGAAGTATACACCTTCAATCAAAGATTGATATGAAATTGCTACAATTACTGCAATAACCACACCCAGTATGACACAACTGATCGAACTGACAGTGAGTCATCATAGAGACACCTGCTTTCATCTATGTCATCCGAAGCGCGAGTGAGTAGGGTTCTTACAGTTCTCTGAGAGTGCGGATTCTTCCGAGAGAATCAGGGAAAGAGTCGTTGAAATTGTTTTCAGACAGATCCAAAATCGTCAATTGACTCAGATTTCCAAGTCCAGAAGGCAATACACCGGCCACACCTTCGCCAGTAAGATTTCTGTCAGAGAAACGGACCCGTCAAAGGAAGCTATGTTTAAATCAACAAGAAGGCAAGCATTGTAGGGATCTGATGTGACACATCCTTCAGCATCTCATCTTAGAAACAGTCACTAGGGATATTGGGTTGCGTCCATTGAATTTCTAATTTGACAAATCCAAGACGGTCAGACGACTTCACAAATGAAGGTCCAACTCTCCTCACACGGCTTCGAAGTGAGGTTTCTGCAATGTCAAGAATTTCTTATTCATGTCTTCGGTGCGTGGAAAGGTTTAATCTCAATATACGCACCTTGCAAAATTTGAGCTGTATATGGTCATCGTCAGAAGGAGATCATTCCTTGTGTTTCTATATATGTAGACTCTGTCAATTCTTGTGTTGCTACAAATGTAGATTCTGATTGTGTAATCAGTACCATTGTAAGGGATTCGTGGATTACAAACTTACATTTGGGTTATTGTAGGGGGCAACTCGATGCTACAAACTAGCCAATCCCAAGGAACTGGCAAGCATGGATCGCCAGCTGTGTCTACAGAACTTAATGCGGTCTCAATATAAACCTTCCTGACTGCATTCACTGACAAAGTTTGAAGATAAAAAACCGTATTAATTTCTCAGTCATTCAATAACTATATCTTGCAAGCATAGCTGTCGTTGAACAAACGACATACAATGCAAACTGTGGCCTTCACTTACCATCAAGATTTGAAGTTCTCACTGCCACCGCTGCAAACTCACCATGAATCTCGGCTGCATTCACCAGAACAGGTGCTTCTGTGGGTTCATTTGGTTCAATTCTGATTGTAAACGAATCGCTAAGGATGACCTGGTCGTTGCTCAATACCTGGATAAAACCGGGAGAACCAGGTACCTCAAACGCACCCCAGACCCAAGCTCCATCACCGTCGATTAGTCTGACGGATTGATGAGGATTCACATCTCCAAAAACTACGTTTGAACATAACATCTGGAACCAGAATGTTGGTAGTGGACGGAGGGCTCTAGCGCTCTTCACATTAACCTCAAAGTTCATGGTAGACGACAAATTTTTTCCCCTCCATATTGATCTCATAACTGCAATAGGGAAGCGAATATTGGTTCCGCCAAACCCAAGGTTTGCATCTTCGGTTCTGTTGTAAGCCTCAAACTGCGCTCCTTCGGGTATTCGTGGGGATGACCATATACGATCGAAAGGGTCTGCAGGATACCTGCGTGCAGAACGAAGCAAAACGTCAGTGGTCACCATGCACTTCACATGCTGGACAGCATGATGAGGTAAAGCTAGTCTCGCTCCACTCTTCTTCAATTATCATTCGCATGTTCACCTGAGAGGAGGCGACTCAAAATCAAGTATTCCTCCAAAGTCGAAACGATCAACCAGCATGAGATAGCTCGACTGTTGCTTGTCTTTCGACTGACCAGATCTGCCATAGGTATCTGGATAGTACGGACGCAACTCCAGAGTTGAGATAGCTGGCATTGAGGACTTGTCTTCCAAGGGCACGAGACAAACGTAAAATTTGTCATCTAATGAAGAGACGACCAGCTCGATTGTCTGCGGTATAGAAGGCAGTAGCTCGATTGTGGTGATGTAGGTGGAGTCGACAGTAAGGTAGAACCGAGTGGTGTATCCCGATAATGCAGTTCCATTCACAGTCAAATTTTGGCTGGGAAACATTGCTCGAAGAAGATAATTTTGTGATCCTTCAGTTGCGTTAAATCAATTTGGCAAGTTGTAGCAAAACTTCGAACGTGTCGTTTGGATTGGAAGAAACACCAGAGCAGTTTGCAGCTGTTCGCCATTCGGCAAGCTCAGTAAGCTCTCGTTGTAATAAATGTCGGCAGTGATGATCACATTTTCTTGAGAAAGACTTGCGAATGACTGCAGATTAGATTCATCAGTGATCCACTGAAGTGAGGTGATAGGGTCTACTCCACTCACGCCGCCACAGCTGATGCTTATGAATCCTAAGGCGCAAGAAGTTCATCAGCATTTCCGGACTGGCCAGATTTCATGTAGTCACAGCTTCACACAATTCCCAGTAAATCGCATCTGGTATCTCGTTGGCGATTCTCATGCAGAAGAAATAATGGAACCAGCAAAAGAATCTTTGCCTATTCAGGCTTTCAATGGAGCTGCAAGGTATAATCGAAATGAACTTCGCCGCTAAATTCACAATCCAAAGCCACTTTACAGACTCACCTTCTGGAGAAGCCCCATTAGACTGCGAGAGGACCGGGGAGAGAATAAGGTTCGAGAGTAAGAAACCAGAAAGAACTCCAGCCCAACACATTGCGCTTCTGCTCCACAATTTCAGTTGCAGATATAATTGAGACAAGAAACTCCCCGCCATTAGTCGCCAGATATCACGGGTATAGCCTGGACAGAAATCTGCAGCGTTATTACACAGATCAGTTATATGCTATGCTCCGCATACTACGCACACGGCAATGGATGTACTCTCTTTTGACACCGCCATTCGCTAACTAGGTCCACACGTACAACATATCTTCGATGAGAGTTGATGTCCGCAACCCTGGCGTGAAGCAGATGTTTAAGCCGGATGATCATGCATAAAAATAAAATTCGGAAATGGTCATATTGGGATCACCTGCAGATCCTGTCTAAGATTACCCAACAAATTGTAACCGTGGTTAGAGCATCAAAAGAGAGTTCAGCTTCGGACACCACGTGGTGACGATCCGGGTGAATACACGCCTGTAAGAGCGGGGTATTTATCTTTTGATGAAGACTAGAAACATTCCCTTACTATCATTGTGGCACCAATGAAGATCTCCAAGCCTTGGAGATCACAACGATTGATGTTTAGAGCTCTTTTCTCCATCTCCATGAGTCCAACATACTTCATGTCGATCTCGGGGATACGGGTATCGACGGAAAAAATTCGGAAGTGATCATCTATGTAAGCAATCCAAGCTACTTGAGTTTGGAGCAGGCAAGATCGGAGCCAGTTCAGACTGTAAGAAGATTACAAGATGATTGTCGTCGGAGACTGCACCGAGCGAAGATGGTGAGTTTGTGGAGGTGTTGCTCACAGTTTAGTCTCTTAGGTTTCTAGGCTCGTCGAGAAGATGTTGTGCATTTGAAATCCCGCCAACAGCAGCTGAACTTCAGGAGCATAGAAACGTGTACCTTCGGCCATAGTCTTGTTTCATGTGTCTCATTGAAACCCACTGACAATTTCTAAAGAATTTCTAATAGAATTTCGATCTAGCCTTGCGGTCAGGATTACCCAGGATGAAAGCAAGAGCAGATTTCAGCCCTTCCGCATTGTTTCCGGGAACAACGGTTGGATTGAGGCTTACAGTAGCGTTGATTGTGACACTTTCATCAGCCAGTTCTACAACTCCAACTCCAGGGTTGTGTCTGGGTCAGTGTCGACCTCACAATCACAGTTGATGTTGATGCTGATGAAGCCTGAAACCAATCATCTCTTAGACAGAAGTGGATGGAGAAATCAGAACCTAACACGCAGATTAAAAAATGTGCTAAAACTTTCCAACCACTTCGAGGAAATTCTAATTCCTAAACCTGACCTTGAATGCATTGCAGTATGATTCGGGGAATCCCCATAGGAAGCTACGAAGGTGGTTCATTTGCTTACAAACAAAAGCTATACACACTTGCTGCACCCCAAAATCTCAGTACCAATGGCAGCCTTCAAAAGCCCATCTTACTTGCAATCTTATATATGTTAGGAGCAACGACAGACGATAAGACATGAAGTTTGAAGTTTCAACTCTTGAGAGTGAGACGAAACGGGTAGAAATGCGAGGTGAAACTGAGAAGCGCAGAAGCAATCAGCGACGTGAAGCTTGCTTACTCGCCTTCCAGTTTCATTGTTCTTTTCGGGAGACGAGATGTCTATGCGCTACGAGCACCAGGATTTGACAGCCTTGACGAAAATAAACACATGCTTATGTACTCGTCTTGGACAGTGGAACATCCGTTAGAATGAAAATGATTTACGAACACCTTCTCAACTTCGAATAATGTTTTATACTAGGATGATGTAAAGTACTTTGACTCTCCAATGTTCTCGGGCCACAATTTCACATCACGTCTCTGAGAAAATTGTGAAAACTATATTGGATAAGTGATCATTGGTGAAGTTACTAGGCCCTGGGACCACGACTTACATGTTTTCGAGTTTAGAGCTCCAGAGAGTATCTGCGATTGCGCCTGATAAGGACTTATCGTTCAAATATCTGGACGTACAGTTTCAAGGATCCAATAGTTAAGTTAGTATGGCCCTGGAGGAGTGGTTTCTACGCGGAGGAAAATTTGTGCAGAAACTCAATGCCAAAAATAGGAGTCAGTCACAAGAATCAGCGTATAAGCTCAAACGCTCTCATATCATAAGAGATTGCAGGAGGATGTACTTACAGTGTCTTCAAGCTTTGTAACTTTCCTAGTTCAGTGGGTAAACCTTGAGACGAGTTGTTCCCTGACAAATCCAAGCTGTACAGATTCTCAAACTTCAGAATCTCCTCAGGAATGGGTCCGATGAAAGCATTTTTGAACATGTGGTCAACATCTCAAGTAAGTTCAGATTTGAAGGCACTTCTGCTTTTGCACACACATTTTCCTTTGAAGAACTCACAGACACAGAGAGAGACTCACCCCTCGCAGGGCCTCGCAGTCTACACTTCCGTGCAAGAGCCTGCGCTGTCGAGTCAGTTTACGAGTATTTATCCGGAATTTATCCGTCCTGTCGATTGAGATCCTCAGGGGTGTCGTGTGTAACGGGGTAGGAACAGAGAGAGAGAGAGAGAGAGCACACTCACATCCCTTTGACCGACTCGGTCAAAGGCCGTATCAAATACGAGAGTTTCCCGACGAGCTGATTCTGGGAGCATGATCTGCACATATACCTGAACTTCTTCAGCACATCATTACTAAATGTACTTCGTGGTTTGATGCTGTTACAACTAATGAAACATGAGTTGGCTAAGTTTGGCATAGTTCATAGAAATGAATTCAACTTTAACTTAAAATTAGCGAAACAAAAGTATATGTTGCAGCTGATGACGCAGTACTGTACTCACATACATTCCAAATTCATGAAGGAATCTGCAGTAAAAGGCGGAATTGACCAGAGAAGTTGTTTTGCAAAAAATCCCTGCTTAGCAAGAAAACAGCAGGAAATTACGCAATGTAAACTGCAGGGACTTGAGACATTAAAGGTGGATGTTCAGCACCATCAGGTAGAGCAATGATGGTAAACGAAAAGTATCTCCGCACATCTGATGACATCGAGCACAGTTAATACCTTCTCAATTGATCACTGACTCGCAAATCAACAAGGTAAACATAGTTTGTAGAGATATGAGGGGACACATATCTGAGTCTTACAGCGCTCTCGATGTACAAACATTCACTGAGGTTCGTGGCACGCGTCCATTGAATTTATTATTTTATAAGTCCAAGACGGTCAAACGACTTAGCGATGATTTCTCCAGGTCGAACTCTCCCACCACGGCTTTCTTAGTAAGATTTCTGCATCGCCAACAAAGCCTTGCTAAAGTCGTCTTCGCATGGCAAGGTTTCACAGCAAAATACGCACTTTGCATGATTCTGTCATGCAAAATACGCACTTTGCACTTTTCATGATTCTTCCTGTTTAGAAAACTCTACAAGCATAGCTGTCGGTGAACAATCGACAGAAAATGGTAACTGTGGCCTTCACTTTCCATCAAGTTTTGAAGTTATCACTGCCACCGCTGCAAACTCACCATGAATCTCGGCGGCATTTATCAGAACAGGTGCTTCTGTGGTGTCATTTGGTTCAATTCTGATTGTAAACGAATCGCTACGGATGACCTGGTCGTTGCTCAATATTTGTAAAAAACCGGGAGAACCGGGTACCTCTTCCTGCGGCCAGCCCCAAGCTTGATCACCGTCGATTAGACTGACGGGTTGATGAGGATTCACAGCTCCAGAAACTACGTTTGAACATAACATATGGAACCAGAATGTTGGTAGTGGACGGAGGGCTCTAGCGCTCTTCACATAAACCTCAAAGTTAATGGTGGAGGACAAAAATTTTCCCCTTCATATCGATCTCATAACTGAAGGAACAATGTCCCCGCCAAACCAAAGCTTTGCATCTCGGTAATGTTGTAAGCCTCAGACTGCGTTCCTTTGGAATTTTCGTGGGGATAGCAGTAGCTCGATTGTGGTGATGTAGGTGGAGTCAATAGTAAGGTAGAACCTAGTGCAGTTCCATTCACAGTCAAATTTTGGCTGGGAAACATTGCTTGAAGAAAATAATATCGTGATCCTCCAGTTGCGTTAAATGCAATCGGCAACTTGTAGCAAGACTTCGAGCGTGTCATTTGGATGGGAAGAAACACCAGAGCACTTTGCAACTGTTCGCCATTCGGCACGCTCAGTGAGCTCTCGTTGTAATAAATGTCGGCGGTGATGATCACCTTCTCTTGAGAAAGACTTTCGAATGACTGCAGATGAGTGACATCAGTGATCCACTGGAGTGAGGTGAAAGGGTCTACTCCACTCAAGCCGCCACAGCTGATGCTTATGAATCCTAAGGCGCAAGAAGTTCATCAGCATTTTCTGAATGGCCGGATTTTATGATTTCACAGCTTCGCACAATTCCCAGCAAATCGCATCTGGAATCTCGTTGGCAGTTCTCATGGATAAGAAATATTTGAACGAGCAAAAGAATCTTTGCTTATTCAGGCTTTCAATGGAGCTGCAAAAAGAATTCAAATAAACTTCTCCCGCTAAATTCACCATGTAAAGCCACTGTACAGACTCACCTTCAGGAGAAGCCCCAGTAGACTATGAGAGGACCGGGGAGAGAATAAGGTTCGAGAGTAGGACACCAGAATTCCAACCCATTACATTGTGCTTCTGCTCCACAACTTCAGTCGCAGAGATAAT